AACGAGGGGCCACTTAATGAAACTCGCAGAACAGTATAGCCATCTGGAGTGGTGCAGAAATTTCTTTTCCATTCGTGTCTGTCACCCATGGAATGCTCGCCCATAATCGGTCATCTCTGCACCGACATTCTCAGTGTTAAGAAGACGGTTGGATGACGCACTCATCCACTTACACTTTGTCACTTAGCTTTACGTCTCCATCGTTCACCTGGAGTTTACCATGGATTTATTTGATATTAACTGGGAGCTGTGAATCCAAGCGGATTGTATGATTACAGCGCAGCAAAGAATAAGCCCTTTTTCCTATTTAAAGTACTAACTGTTTTACTAACATTATTATCATTATTGTTATTATATTCTTACCAACTATCCAACGGGACCTGTAAAGTAACGCTTCTTAACCAGTATAAATTCATTGTTCATTGATGAAAGGCAGCGAGACAAACAGTTTTAGTGAAACTCCGTTGCTGTTAGACCCAGGCAGGTAACACACATCTAGGAAAGCGCTGGAGGGCCGTTTCGTCAGACGGGGACATGTCAGTAGCGTGCACTCGCGTGTCTACCGCATTCGAACCCACGACCTTAATATTACGAGCTAGTGAGATATTCCAACGATCCATGGGCTAAAACAACACGCCGCTACGAGGAATAACCGATTGCGATATGGCACAACTACTCCTACACTGTCTTGCATATTATGGACTTGCAGAAGACAGGGCTGTCCCCCAGAGTAATGACATCCTTGGCGGACCTCCAACAACCGGGGTGACATGTTAGCTGTTAAGGGGACTACTGATTATTTGTAAGTAGTCGGGAATTTATTGCAATTTGTAAAGATTTGGCGCAAGTAGACCCCGCCAGATAGCCACAACACATTCAGATAGTACTCATGAGTAGGGGATTTGCTGCAATTATGTGAGGTTCATCGCAGCCAGTTTCCAAATCAGATAATCGTCCACATGCCTGGAAACTGGCTGCGATGAACCTCACTCAATTACAACAAAGTCCCCTACTCATAAGTACATCAAATTGTATCCGCCCTGACAGTTTCTACATGCTATATCGTACATAGCTACTCTTAGTGGACGTCGTATCTTTCGGGGCCAACGCTGTCCTCTGCAACGTTCGTAACTTGCATGGCAGTGGAGGATAAGACGCGCTATATCGCAGTTAGCTTGTGAATCATGACGGTCCGAAGCTGTCCCCCGTGGCCTAGTGGCATAAGCTGCTGATTGGCGGTTCAAGCAGCTGGTGGTCATGGGTTCGAATCCTGATGGATCCGATGGATGCGCACTATTGACGATGCCCAACAGGCTGAACCTGCAGTCTAGTGCTTTTCCGGGCATGTGGACGAATATCTGATTTGGAAACTGGCTGCGATGAACCTCACTTAATTACATCCAGATAGTGTTAGTCAGCCGTTTCGTTTTATTGGGACTCGTCAGTAGGGCGCACCCACATAATCCCGCCCGATTCGATTCCACTGCTTGGCGACACGGAGAGGAGCAGCTCATATAACTCATTACCCGCTAGCTTGTATCTCCAGAAACTAGGTAGGTCCCACTTGGTCCCACTTGGTTTGAACAGCATGTGCGTGGGTTATAATAAACGTGAAACGTGGTATACGGCTCATAGGTATGAGTGATCATTTGTACACAGAAGTAGTATTGCATTTTGCGTGCTGAAAGGCATAATAAAGAAAAGATGCTTGGATCATGAATTTTCTGACAGATCAACGACCAGATTACTCACAATGCATCCATTCAGTACGAAGGTTCGGGCATTTTCAAAGTTACTTCTTAGCAGAGCTCCGGAAATAGTAGGTGGCGGACGTACACACTGCATTTTGTGGGTAACAGTAAAGAAAAGGTTACTTATCTGCACACGTATAGCCGCATATATGTTAGATCACCAGCTTCCATGAAAGCTTCCGGAGATTGATGTGATTCAGGTGTTGTTAACACATTCGGTCTAGTAAGATGTGTGGATTGTGATAAGGATTGCGCTTGCGAGTGCCTCTCGTGAAGGCTGGCTCCACAGGTAGCTATTTCTCAAAAAATTGTTATTCAACTTTTATGAAGTGCTATCTCTGGTGTAGCGGATAGATGCTGTTGTGGTGGGGTAGAGGCTGTTCACAGTGTAAAAACGGTACTGTTCGTCAAAGTTAGCTTAGTTTTAGTGCTGAAAAAAGGAGGAGAGTTTTCGTCATCTATCTCACCCAAAGGGTATCCAGTCGGAGGTGTCGATAACAATCATATTAATTCGGATCTGGTCAATGCCTCATGACCAGCTCAGTAAATATTGAACATTCTTCAGAGATATGCTAGTTTTGCCCCATGTTTGTTGTAGATGATATTACAATATTCAAGAGTATAATTTATGATACTTTTGAATTGAACTTAGTTCTTTCGAAAGCTTGTCCTGCGTGCACATCATACTGGCTTTTTAGCTTAGACGACAGACGAGGTTGCATTACTGACTCTATGGAACCAAACTAGCGTGGTTTATGTATTGACCCCTTCAAGTCGTTCTCTTGTGCACTCTTCTCTGCATAGGTCTCTCTGATGTCCAGCTGGTCTGGACACCTAAAAAGGCAATGCGTTTCTCCCGTTGCAGTTCCGTGCTGAAGGCTATGTTATTGCGCACGGCGTTGAATTGAGCTAACAAATCGTCAGTACGCACTCAGCTATCCGCGACAAAAAATATGCGGTATACATAACAGTCGTGTACACATGAGTAATGATTGATTCGCATATCTGATTCCTCTCCAATTTACTTATGAATAGGTCGAGTTGGGTGTTGTGGCTCCGGTCAACTTTGAAGTCAGCCTTTGCCATTTCGATTACTGGGGCCGTCACCACAGTGGAGGGTTTCAGTTTGGCTCTTTTCCATCCGTGCACTGCATTGTGAAAGCAACAGCGAAACCCTATACTTTGGATACGGGCCGAGTGATCAAAATGGCAGAGGCTGACTTCAAAGTCGACCGAGACAACAATTGAGATTGCGTGTCGCGATCCAAGACACAAGTTGGGTACTCAACAACTGGACAATCAACTTCTAACCGCTCTGTCAAACGCTGCTGGCAGATCTCAGTGGTTTAATGATCATGGCAATATCCGCCAATCCTTATGTGCCGAGTTCTAATCCAAGCTCAATTGTACTGTGTGGATAGGAGAGATCAACACAGAAACTCCTCTAACCAACTACAAATGACGACTAGTACATTTTATGCATGCAATATTTGCGTCACACAGAGGGTAATTTTATGATGATAATACTACTACTAATAATAATGGTAATATGTATATTGCTCATCGGGTGAGCAACCGTGATCATGTTTGGCACAGATAATATTTTACAGACTATGTCATACTCATGACTGAATGGCAAACATTTATATGATTTTCATAGCTTTTGCTGTTGCAACGGTTTGTATTAACTCACAAGTGTGTTTCGACGCAATGTGCATTAGTTGGAATGGCGGATGGTAACAACATTAGGATGTGTCATACAGTATGCACTTTTTTTACTCATTCGATGTTGTCTGGCGCTTCTTGGTGCAAATCATCACGGGATCTCTCCCAAGAGAACAGGGTCATAATCGTGTTCAAATCTAGTTAGTTGGTGAGCTTAACGCGAAAAGCCATTGCGCTCTTACACGATCTGATTGTGACTGGGAGCTTATTCCACAGGACAGCATATCTGGTAAGGAAAACGTTAGACCGCAAATTTACCCTGCACCTGGGTACACTCAGGGTAAACTCCTTATTGGGTAGCTCCTTTGTCGAACTATCTTTTAGTTCTAGGTAAGGTAAATAGCAGTGGACGTTTTGATGTATCATGTTGTACAGAAGCATCAGGTTGTCTCAATCTTCGTAGCCAAAGCGGATCGGGCTGAAATTGTTGGCAGCGCTCCCGATAGTTCATAGTGGATGTTTTGCCTAGCAGACGTTTGGTAAATGACATTTGTAGGCTTTCCAGAGATACTCTGTCAGATATCCTCACGCTGCCACAAATGATACTGCAGTATTCCAAAATGGGGCGAGTGGGGATGTTGCAGAGTTCTACTCTGGCTGGGTTTATGTAGATCTTATGTAATATATTAGCTTGATTTTCTGGCCCTAGTCAGCTGCTAGCTCACTTGTCCAGAAAACATGAAGGTTGCAAGTATACCTGATTCCGAGGTCGCGGGTAGACAACTGTACACATAAGTGTTCGCCGTTCAATGTACACCAATGTTGAGAGGAGACTTAGCATGGTTACTCAACCTTTAACCAAGCAACTGACTCGCACTTTGATTTCTGCCACCGAATTCGGTCGAAAAAGAGAAGTGCGACCGGGACAGTAATTACTTAACGAGAAGGATTATCCAGTGTATCACCTATTGAACGACCCTAAATGGATTTGGCTTCCAATAAGGGAAGGACAACCGTTGAGCATTACACTGGTATGAGGATCCAATAATGGCGCAGCATGTGTGCGAATCTGTAGTTGAGCTATTTGTTATCACCGCTAATACAACAGTTTGCATTAGGCCAGGCTGTATACCAGAACAATACTTATAATTAGAAACTTGTATTTCTCTTTATCCTTCCAAGTAAGAATATAAGAAGACGCCATTCTTATTTGAAACTATAACTGACACTTTACACAGTAAAATCAAGCAAACCGGAAGCATCCTCAAACTACTACTAGTCAGTTAACAAGACTGAAGTGAAATAGACTGAACTTTTTCTCGTGTCCACGTCGATTAAAAGCAAACGGAAATGCTTTTAAAGCTAACTGCCTTTTACCGCCTTTCAATACTACCTTCCAATAACATTCACCAGGCGATCTGTTCTATCGCCAACCTCCCAGTAATAAAATAGCTGGATAAATATTTAAGTGATTTTGCACGAATTTAGAGACATCCCCAGTATTAGTAGCCAAGAATTACCGCGTATTTTGACTTTGTGGTAACCCATGATACATTGGTTAAATAATGTGTTTCTATATTTCAGGTTGTGCAGAGGAATGCCGCAAGGTTGAGGTATTACCAGTGGTGGTCATCGTGAAATCCTAAGCTACGAAACGATCATTCTGTCACCAATGACTGTCTGATGGGAGTTAGTAAATTCTCTGTATTTCTTTCCACACGATGAACAATAAACTGCACATCGCTTTACATGTGAACCACCAGTCTTGCAATCAATACATCATCCAATTTCGTTACTACCTAACCTGAGGTTAACAGACACACGAAGGGCATTGAATGAATTTGGTTCGTGAGTGAAATGGCGCTGTAAAAATGTTAGGAACAACGGATATAAGCGATTTTATCGAACCACATTACAATCTCAACTGGGAAAATTTCCGGGTAAGATAAGCTAAACCTATATTCATTTCTTGGGGTTAATGCCAAAAACATATGGTTTAGCAGTGTACTTTGTGTGTACAACTTTATCGCAGAAGTAACCGTGACCTAACTAGCATATGTGCCAAAGGAGGTAGCATCGGCCAGAAGTAGCATAGTAGTTGACAGCGAAGTCAAAGTAAGTTATAGCGACTCTCGTCACTGTTTGTAGACAGTCCATGTAAATGTTGAGCTATTTGGAATTGTGATTACGACGGTCGATGGCATGAGTTTTGTCACTATCAACTATGTTGACCGAGCGCCCACATTTAGAAAGCGGCAGAAATATGTCTCAGCGTTGCGTTGAAGTCGCTGCCGATTGTAGATTCTGTGAACTGGGGCGTTGGAATATAGATGTGGACGAGACACTTTACGCTAAAGGCTTATTCAGTTCCGCTGGGCTTTAATCTCCACAGAACCGATGTGCGTTGAGCAAGTGCGAATGACATGAGCCGTTGTTGCGCATTAGGATTCCAAAGCCTATTAAAGTTGCAGCCGTCTACAGTGGGCTTATCTTCTTTACAAAGGGTCAGTGGGCCAACTTCTTCCAGATATGCATGCCCTGGTGTTCGCATCAAGCGCAGATGAAACCTGGTAGGCGTACTTCGGTAGCAATGATCAGAGTAGTATGAGTAACTATGCCTACAGGTTAGAAGGCGACTGATGGTGATGGTTCAACTCTATTACCATCAATTTTACTATGTCCATTTTTACATGCACTCTCGGTACCGTGCATGGAACTCACTCAACATATAAATACCTGCATAATACCACACGACTAAGCGTGATACTTCCAAACTAGATTTACTAGAGTAACAGCGCTATGAAGAGCCGTGATAAATGGTTTGTCATCGGCAAAATAACCAACGGTTGAGACACATTTGCTGGTCGGAGTGAGATATGTGGAAGAATCTCAGAAAACTAAGGTTGTCTTCTGATAATCTTTTGTTGAAGTATAAGAGGAATTTCACGTTGCAACAAGACAGCTGTCCACGCTTGAAACCGGTCATGAAGTCATCGGTACAAAGGGGTATGTGAGAAACCACTTAATATATTTGTTGCATAAGTAATCAGTCAAAGGATTTACTGATGCAGAACTAGGTCCGTCAGGGACAGGCGTACATTCAGCACAGTCAAATTAGCGAAAATCACAGCATGCTTGGCAAGCCAAGCTTCTCGATATAATTTACACGTTCATATCCATAACTAACGAAACTTCTGAGTAGATGCGGTTCCTCCTTTGACTCAGTTAAACAAACGGAAAAACCCGCACGCATGTCGGCCAATCCGTGTCCAGTAATCGGATCTGTTACACCTGTCTCCCATTGGCTGTCTAGCTCGCGCGACTTGTCCAATCGTTCACTCAGGTATGACACTCCCATCATACATTCTTTTGTTCGTGTCCTTCGCGTTCATATTACTATGCGCCCCTTACACCTTCCCACGCCGCTCTACCTGCGGCCTTGATCTCCTTGCCCCACAACATAGGGCGCTCTACTCCCAATCTACGTTGTTGTCTCCAGTGCCGCCTCAAATGCATTCGTTTATTCCTGAGCGTATTCCGTCTAACATTTATTTCGTATGACCTTGTACCTACTTTCCTAGTCACCACAACTTTCTTTCACCGCTTTTGATCATCGGGTGCTGGTTGCACCCACAATTTCTCCTCCACTGTTAGCTCAGGTAGTACTCGTACACTGCAGTCGTAGTACCGTTTCTGATCATACAAATGCTCAGCGTGTTCTGTAATCTCTCATACTGTGGCGAAACTGGACGCAAAAGAGTGACAGATGTCGGCGTCAGGGTTCTAGTCCTTCGGTTGTATAGTAGCTGCACTGGGCTCAAGCCGACATGAAGGAATGTTGCGATTCTCATGCAGTATGAGGTATGTGATTTCGCCAGTAGTTCTAGCCTTTGATAATAGTCGATTGGCCAGCTTCACTGTTGACTCCGCCTTTCCCTTCGACTGACTGTGATTTGGGCTGGTTTGCTGGTGCATGAATTCCCACTTGGTTGCGAAAGCCTGAAACCACCGCAACCTTCTGCGACATCATGCAGCATCATTGGTTCCCTCGTCTGCCGAAGTTCGTGTGGACAGCAAGCCTCACAATTCGACACATGATCTCCTATTCCACCTGTCATACTTGTAAAAAAGACCAATTCTCTTGCACGGGTAATCGTATAGTTGGCCCCAGGTGGGCGTGATTAACGCATTTCAGCATTTCTCCTCGAAGCCATGGCGGAACCAGTTTACGGCTTCGATTGAACAGCAAACCAACATGGACAGTGTTCATCCCGAAAACTGAAGGGGGTGTTAGCTCCTTCAGCTGCGACTTCTTTGTCTCTGGCCACCCATTTAGAATAACGTCTCGCAATGTTAAAGACGTTGCATCTTCCCCTGTGTGGCGTTTTATTTGTTTTAGACAATCTTCCGTGACCGCCAGATGTTGCACTAAGTTTACTGCTTCGACCTCATCCGGATTACACTTGGCTACCGGCAGATCAGCTCTTGACAGCGTATCCGCGATGAACACCTTTGCACCAGGGGCTTACACAATATCCACCTCGTACTTTTGAAGTCGGATAAACATACGCTACAGACGACGAGAAAGGATGTGCAGCGATGTACTGGCTGACGCCTCTATCGATCTGTGATCGGTATACATGACATAGAATAGCGCGAGCACTTCCTTTTCAATCTGCACATAGTGCTGCTCGGTCACGGTAAGTGCTCCACTTCGGAAATCCAGAGGTTTTCCATTCTGTAGGAGAACAACTCTAGTTCAGTCCTGATTACTGACACACAGCGCCTTCTGAGGCTGCGCTGGATCGTAATATCTGAGTATAGGCGCGTTGCCGTTAACGTACTTGATAGTTTTCTGTTCCTTCTCCCAACTCCAGTTTACTCCTTTGTGAGTTAGCTTCCAGATCGGCATCGTGATATCGACAAGTCTTCGCATAAAACGGTTCAAATAATTTCCCATGCCGTTTAAACTATCGATTCCCTTCATGTCGTTAGGGGGCCTCATCTCTCGTGTATTGCCTTACTTTACCCTAGATCAACCTTGATTCCCTCGGTTGTTAGCTCATACCCATAGAAAATCTCCTCCTCTTTCCGAAGCTCAATTTCCTCACGTTAAAGCTTGATGTTCTTTTGCACACAGGGCTGCAAGAGACGGTGGTTTTGCGTCATACACTTTTTCCGTCGAGCCGTAGAGCAAATCATCGTCTGCCACCCATACTACATCATCTAAATCGCCAACCGCATGTACTAATCGTTTTTGAAAAATTTCACTGGACATCTTTAAACCGAATGGCAAACGCAGCCAACGATAACACCCAAACCGTGTGGCAAAGGTAGTAAGGAAATTGCATTCTTCATCTAGAACAGCGTGCCACAATGCGTAAGGCAGTTCCCTTTCATGAAACACATGGCCTCGGCCAAACGCTGCAAAAGGTCTTCTATGATAAGTAGCGCATAATGCTCTCTACGCAAGGTCTCATTCAACGGTTTCGCGTTAAAACACATGCAGAGTTCACCCGTCTTCTTGGTAATGATTGCGACCTGACTAACCCAGTCAGTTGGCTCTTCAAGTTTACCATCAGTTCAGCGGAGAGCCGGTCACACAGCGTAAATGGAACACTCTTAGCCGGCAGCGGTTCCTTCACATTTCCAAAGCCTGAGCTAAACACAGACGGATACTGGTCACTAATATCGGTTTCTTCCTGGCAAGCATGTAGCAAAAGATCTTGGTTAAAAATAACAAAAGCGATAGACTGAATCGAATAAATGCCGAGAATCTGCGTTAGCTCCTGCTTCACAACCACAAGCTCTAGCCGATATGAGGCTGCATCCCTTGGGTTAATCACTTCAATTGTAGCTACTCTCTTATGATGAAGTCTGGAATCATTTCACATGCACAGACAATCTTTCTCGGATCGGCTGCACAAAGCAAGACAATGCTTCCTGAGTAGAATGTTGCCAGTAGCATCCGTGCCTGACTGGAATTTTTCAGCTTTGCCTTCAAAGACTTGCACGGACACATTCTTGTGGTACACTCCGAGACACCTTGCCAATTGAATGTTCTACGTTTGTGTGTAACTTGTCATCTACGCCATCCGGTGCACGCTTGATCCGAACCGACGCTGGTGCCTTTTTGTGGATCAATCCTCAACAATTTACTGCACACCATTGAGCTTATATACATTCGACTTGAATTTATCAGCTCTACAATGTGCCTACTTTTCTTCCGGTTTATTCTTATTGGTTCAAAGCCTGATTCACGTTTATGTTGTGGCGGACTGTTTGCTGGGGCTCATAACTGCAGTAATCCTGGTTAAATCAATTTGTGAAGATTTTACAATCGATCTGAAGCAATTGCTTGAGACGACCAAGTAAAACAAAAATCGTTCCTCCCTAATACTATTTGCTGCAACTAGTTCGTAATTCCTGGAACTTATTACCTGAAAACGTGGTGTCATCACAATCAGTGAAGGAGTTTGAGCATCAACTCGACGCCCTTGGGCTGCAGTTTCAGTTCTTCCCTTTCACATCTTAAATCTTACGCTTAAGTACTATTACTATTACTACTTTTATATTTCCGATTATTTCCGCCTTTTGTTACTTCATATTTTTATACCTACCTCACGTGGCCGGCGCAGCCGGAACT